AAGGCATCTGGACTCTGAGGTACAGTTACAGCATCATCATAGTACTCTGGGATCTCTTCTTTCAGAGAGGTTATCGAGTCTCCTGAACCACACAGAGAGACAGAGAATTTACACTTCAGGACTCAGACTTACTTTGACCATAGAGCTGCAAAGTAATTGGAAAGTGTGATTTTAAATGTTTTGTGGTGTATAGTTAAGCCAAAACTCTAGGTTTGCTGATTAATCTGATCTGAAAGGCCATTTTTACAGCATGCTATTCCCCAGTCTCCTTTTCTATCAAAACCAATTAGTGCAGCACCTTGTTTACCACCCCAGTATTGACCAGCTATAGTTTTGCTCAGCATCTGTGATCTGCCGAGATAAGGCTAGTGTGAGGCAACATTGAAGAACTGGCTTTATAAGGTATCAAACACATGTGGTTCTATTTGTATGATTCAGGATTTTCTACATAAGTTCTCTAAATGTCAGCCTGGTTTGAGGTGAGAGTGAGTACTGGACTGAAGACCTCCTCACTCCCACACTGAGCCCCCTGACTCCACCTCCCCTCACCTGGTACTGGGTCTCCCTCACTGTCTTCCACATCATCGTATCCGTAGAGCAGCTCGTCAGAGAGGAATCTCCCTGTGAACAGGAGGACAGATCAATATTACCTGCAGTCAGACAGCAGACTCCTTGTTTCCACTGGCTGTGGAAGAAGCCAGGGTGTGAACAGTACCTCAGAGTTTGTGTGTATAAGGCAGGTCAGGAACTGTGAACTATGGTGTCAGTTACTTTGACACCAGTTGAGAAAAAAAAATCCTACAGATTTAAAACCAGTATGGTAAGATTTTTTACAAGTGTTAAGTCCTCAGATCTTTCTCAGAGGGTGGAGATCAATCACACCTGAAGACTCTCCAATCACCTCTCCTGGGGGTGCTGTAGGTTCCCTCTCTGGCCAGTTTGTACTCTATTTCCTTGTAGACTGCATCATGATAGGGGGCGAGTGCTCCCTTAGATAGGGCTGTGTGAGGAAACAGACACTCAGGGTTAACATGCAGGAAGAGTACAAGATCAATAATTCACTGCTAAACCTTCTTTGGACATTTGAGCACAGAAATGTTATGATTCTGGATTTGCAAATTTCCTGATATCTCCATCTGTAATTGTTGATAATCTTTCTTAAACTTCAAATGGATTTCCCTACCCTATTAAAATTGCTCACATCCAGCACACCTTTAAATTAGACAGGTTCACCTTGGCAATTGTGATTTTAAAGCAGCTTTATTCCTCAAGTTAATTATAGAAATCTCAGTTCCATGTGAGTGACAGAAATGACCACTAGAGGTCACTATGTGGATTGTGAGTTCCCTCCCTACCTTTCCTCAGCTTCCTATTCTGGATCAGCTGCCCCACTAACAGGGCCAGCACCACGAAGAGCAGAGCCCCCAGCAACAGGAGGACCAGGGGCGAGACAGATAGACCTCCCAGCGGCTGTGCCAGGGGTGTTGTCCCGGTTCTGCCTGAGAGAGGGGGAGACAATAGATGAACAGGGATCAGGAGAGGTTCTCTTGGGCTCATATACACTTCGACAGATGGAATGTCCTGTTCTCCTCCTGTTCCCATATGGGGCTATCATGGCTTCAGTGTGAATCAAGATCAACGAAGAATATAAGGATTCCCAACCTAGTAAATCAGTGAGGAAAGAGAGGACACTAGCACAAATCTACACTGGGAATCTGAAAACATTGATTTTCATCCTGAGAGAGGAGGGGAGACACTACAGCTACAATGGGAATCTGAAGAGACACTGATCTTCACACTCAAGAGGAGAGGAGACACTACAGCTACAGTACACTCAGAATCAGAAGAGACATTGATCTTCACCCTGAGAGAGGAGAGGAGACACTACAGCTACACTGGGAATCTGAAGAGACTGATCTTCACAATGAGGGAGGAGAGGAGACACTACAGCTACAGTACACTCAGAATCAGGAGAGACATTGATCTTCACCCTGAGGGAGGAGAGGAGACACTACAGCTACACTGGGAATCTGAGTTATCAATGACAGAGAAGGATTTCTGTTCACCTGTAGCTGTTGTTGGACTAGCTGTTGTCCCTGCCAAACCTGTAAAAGAGATAGGAGAACTGTCAATTTATTGACTTTGGTTTTACAGCAGGTTGAATCCACAGTGGTCTTAATAAAAAAAAAACTTTACATTTGTTCCTTGAGGTCAAATGTAAGATTGCAGGATGAAAGGTGTCTTGTTCTGAATTGAAGACTAGTGTTGTTCACATACACAGGGCTACAAAACATCCCAATCTTGTGACTGATGATCTTAGCT